AACTCCAGGGGTTTCGAACTGGTCCAAACACACCGTCTGTGCTTCCAGATCTGAGAGGAAGAAGCAAAGCAGTACCTCAGAAAAACTTCCTCTTCTGTCCCCAGGGAAACTCAGGGAACTTTCTTAACCCACTGTAGCTTGAGCTGAAAAGGGCTGAGACTACTGACATGCAGCTCTCAACAGGCAGCTAAGGAGGGTGGCAGAAGTTGGTGGTGGAAATGAAAATTACTCGCTAAGGGAAGACTTATCCCCGTTGATTATCCAAACCAATTAAAGATGATTTCCCCTGGAAGTTCTGCTCTTTCTGTTGAAGAGTCACACGCATTCAGACAACTAGGAAATCTTTTAAAGGAATCCCCCCCTTAACCAGACGGTTCAAGTTTGAAAAGCATCGGGTATGGTGGCTCACGCCTTCCATCTCGGCATTTAGTTGGCTGAGACAGGATGATGTCTATGAATCCCAGGCAGGCCTGGGCTGGAGTGAAACCTGTCTCAAAACCCAAACAAAACCCCAACCGAGGGATGAGGAGTAGCTCAGCGTGTAAGAACACTTGTAATGCAAGCCCGAGACCCTTAATTTGAATTCCTAACACATGAGAAAGACAGCCACATGCCTGTCATCTCAGCATTTTGGGTAGGGTGGGTAGACAGGCAGCTCCCAGGTTGACCTTGAACTTAAGAGATAGCTTCTTAAGTTCAAGCCTCTGCCTCAGGCATGGGCCAACATATCAACTAAAGTACTATATATTTTATATAACAGTTTTTCTTGGATTTATCACTTTGAAGTAGCATATTTCAAAAGTTCTTAGTTTACTCAATCCCAACCTACCAGTTTTTATTTTGAATTATTTTGTGTCCTAGAAAAAAAGATTTTTGCTTAAGTCAAGACTTTTTTAACAGGTTTTCTAAATTTTATCATTTTAGCCTTTACATTCTTTAACTTCCTACTGTGGAACATTTTCACAGCATCTTTTTGTTTTAATGAAAAAACATCAATAGAATGCTTCTTGATTTAGGCTTGCTACATACTTCTTGCTATGACATAGGTGATGCTTATGCATGCTTAGACGTAGGTGATGATTTTCCAGCTGACTCATATGTAACTGAGTGTCCTCAAAGAGTCACACTGGAGACATACTAAGTCTACTTTTTCCTCTTTGGCCATGTTAATTTTGATCAGCTGAGAAAAGAAAATATCCTAAAAATCCATGTCCAAGTTTACTTCCATGGATGAGGTCACTAGAGCACTAAGAGATATCACAATAAACACGGTAGTCCAGGGCTACCCTGTTCTACAAAACAGGGACACTGATCAAACAAATATTATAAATGTGAAAAGAATTATAAAGTGGAAAAATCTAAAGTGCTTTTGGTGAATGATGGACTATTTTCCTCCGTAGTATCAGGAACAAGGCAAGGTTATCTGCTTTACACCTGCCCCTCACCCCCAACTTTAATTATTTGTATATGTGCTGTGGGATGGTCTGTATGTCAAATGTGTTGCTCTGATTGGTCTATAAATAAAACACTGATTGGCCAGTAGACAGGCAGGAAGTATAGGCAGGACTAACAGAGGGGAGAATGGAGAGAACAGGAAGGCGGAGGGAGACACTGCCAGCCGCCACCATGACAAGTAGCATGTGAAGATGCCGGTAAGCCACGAGCCACAAGGCAAGGTATAGATTTATAGAAATGGATTAATTTAAGATGTAAGAACTAGATAGCTAGAAGCCTGAGCCATTAGGCCAAACAGTTTAAATAATATAAGCATCTGTGTGTTTATTTTATAAGTGGGCTGTCGGACTGCGGGGCTTGGCGGGACCCGGAGAGAAAACTCTCCAGCTACATATATGTTTATGTCTATGCATGAGTGCAGATGACCACAGAGGCCAGAAGCGGGTGTCAGGTCACCTGAAGCTGAAGTGACAGGTGTTTGTGAGTTACTCGTGTGGTTGCTGGGAACCGAACTCAGGTCCTCTGCAAGAGCAGTAAGCATTCTTACCTGCTGAGCCATCTCTCCACCTCCCCATTGTACACTTTTTCTTCAACACTTCATTGACAGTCTTAACTGGCTCACCAAGGCAAAATATAGATAAATAAGAAATACAAAATAAAACTGTCTCCGCTATCTACACAAAATAGTCCAAAGAACCTACAAAGAACAACTAGAACTAACACACGAACTTTAACAGGTCTAGGAGGCCAATATAGAAAGAAAAAAAAATATGTTTTTATGCATTTGCTATAAATAATTAGAAACTGAAAAACTATAGCATAAAATAAGTCAGGACTAGAATGTGGCTCAGTGGGCTAAGGCACTTGCTGCCAAGTCTGACGACCTGAATTCAATGCCTAGTTATCCACATGTTGGGGGAAAAGATAGACTCCCTGAATTGTCCTCTGAACTCTACTTGTACATGTTCAAATAAATTAAAAACTGTAGTCGAAAATATAAATCACAAAAGCTCTATAAAAGACTTACATTGGAAAATCTCAAAAGCATTGCTGAGAAAAAATAAACAAAAATCTCAACTGGCACAAACTCATGGCATTTGTGAATTAGAAGATACAGACAGAGGCCAGTTCAAAGGAAGCTGCTAAAGCTTATGGGGAAAACAAACAGTGCCCATGCAGTGACTTTAAAACAGGGCCGCAGTGC